GGCTTTCCTGCAGCCACTGGCTAAGCAGGGCTTGCCGGGGTTGCTCCCCCATGTTGGGCGGGCGCGTCCCGTCACACATCCCCCCTTTTAACTTACTTCCCTCTTCCCCTTGTTCGTTCTCATACTGCCGGGAGAAGAAGTCCGCGTTTTGATGTTGCGAGCCGGGTCGGTGTGCCACCTCAAAAGCATAGGGCTGGAGGGCCAGATACCATCGCATCACTCGGGTGTTAGAGTCCTTCATGGTCTATAGCCAACGCAGGGGGACGTGGTCGGTGATTACGCGGAACTGGTCTCCTAGGAGATAATACCTTAACATATCTAGCGCCCATTTTATGGCTAGCGCCTCCTTCTCGATGGTCGAATATTGGCGTTCGCGGGGAAATAATTTCCGGCTGATGTAAACGACCGGGTGCTCCTCTTCTCCATCCCCCTGGGACAGGACCGCTCTGATCCCCATCTCCGAGGCAACTGTTTGGACACTAAAAGTACAGTTAAAATCGGGTTGGGCTAACACGGGAGCCCGGCTAAGACTCTCCTTCAACCCCTGGAACGATCTTTCGCCTTCTGGCATCCAACACACTTTTTGGGGCATTGTGGCTCGGGTTAGGTCCGTTAGAGGTGCGGCTATAGTTGCAAAGTTTGGTACAAATCGGCGGTAATACTCCGCCAGTCCCAGAAACTGGCGCACCTGTTTTTTGGTTGTCGGTGCACAATGGTTCCGAAGGGCCTCTACTTTTTCCACCAGTGGGCGTAATCGCCCCCGGCCTACGATGTAGCCCAAGTATGCTACCTCCTTCTCCCCAAATCGACACTTTCGGGGGTTTGCGGTAAGCTCGGCCTCGAAGGGCGCTCGGAGGACGGCTTCTACGTGCTGTAAGTGTTCTTCCCAGGTTTGGCTGTATACGACTATATCATCAATATAGGTGGCTGCCCACCGGCCTTGTTCCCTTAGTACCCGATCCATGAGGCGTTGAAATGTGGCAGCGGCCCCGGGGAGGCGAAATT